GGGGGGGGGGGGTGTCTGAACAGCAGGGTGCAGGGGTGCAGCCACACATCTGACGAGAAGAGGGGATGCTGGCCGACAGGCTTTGACTATTTGGGTCCCATCGTCAAGACCATGGGACTCTGGCCACGGGGGCAGCAGACCACCCTCGCCTGGTGCCTTCAGACATTCCCGAATGTCAGGTCATCTGACCGCGTCTGCCGTGTAGGCTGTCCCTGGGGACCGCGTGGTCACACCCTGTCCAGGAGTGGCCCGCACGGGGTCATGTATCCCACTGCGGTCGGGAGATGTGTGGTGTCAGTCATCACACCGAGGAAAGGGTCCTGAGGCCTCATAGCATCGAGGGTCTTGCGATCCAGAATTCGGTCTATTTACCGGGAAGCCCCTGCTTGGCTGCCTGTTACTAGGACCTGTCCAGGATTTCCTAAGCAACGTAAACGTGCCGATTGCACACGAGAAGGCAAGGGGGAGTGCAGGGAGAGGTCTTACGTTGTCTGGGTTGTGTTACTGGGGTGAGCCCACCGTGGTCGTCTGAGCTCATGGGGAGGGACTGTTATGCATCCAGACCGGTGAGCTCCTCCCTCGCCGCCCATGGGCCAGTTCAGTCACGTTAGAGGCTGACGGGGGGGAGGCCGCCCAGGGACTGGCCCCACTGGGGCCTGTCAGCCGGCTCGCAGCCCCAGCCCGCTTTCTGGGGACGCACTTTCCGACCCCAGGTTTTGGGCCCCGCCCCTTCTGTGCCGCTGGGCGCCGTGTTGAGACTCCTGCCTTCTCCTCCCGAGATACTCCGGTGCCTGCTCCTGAGTCGGTCTCTTTGGGCTGCATTTCCAGGACCGTGCGGAACAGTTTCTCTGAGGTGACTGTCAGAAAGCCGATCTCTGCATTGGGGTGCAGGCCGTACAGGTAGGGACTCTCGGGGGGCAGGTTCTCATTGATGTACTCGTGGTAACCCTGCAGAGGGGCGGTCGGTGAACAGGGCTGCCAAGGAACCTGTGTCCGCCGTTGACGAGGCAATTCTGACCAGAATGTTCCGCCCACGCCTTGCCCTCTGTACCAACCCCACTGGTTCTCTAACACCCCCCACCCCAGCCACATGAACGAAGCCTCCACGCCCCCTCCCCAGAGGCTGTGTTTCAAGCCATCCCGGCCCTCTTGCCCAATCACTGATACTCTGTCTGTGACGCCAGGCTGGCCCCCCAGAGCCGGCCAGGACAGCATTGCCCTTTGCTGCTGTTGCGTCACAGGGTGAGCTTGTGTCCCCGAGAGAGGGCCCCCCTCACCTTGTAGTCCAGGTTGGGGGGGATCTGAAAGCCCGGGGCCAGCAGGGTCTCGCCCTCCAGCATCTCTGCCCGGACGTACTCCGCCAGGTACGTCCTGCAGAGCCGGCGGTCCCAGTCGTCTGTGATGTGGCCGCCGTACATGATTTCTCCAAACAAGTAGCGTAGGTCATCCCAGGGCACCTTAGGAAGGATGGAGGCGGTGAGGAGAAGTACCCCCTGCCCCGTTGGGGTCAGTAAGAACCGACAGTCGGCCATCAGTGTGAGGTGAGGGCCGGCTCCTGTCACCCCGTCGCCGCCCTGTCCGCTGCTCCGTCGGGTTACCAGGCCTCCCCTCCCCTCCCCCGACTGCCCCGCCCCGGCGGTGTCTCACCCGGAGGCCCGCCCCTCCTTGGCGGGGTCCCGCCTTCTCTGGCAAGGGCTGCCCAGCGGCTCCCCTCTGCCCACAGCCTGGCCTCTGTGTCCCAGGACATCCCGCTCCGAGGCCTGCCCTGCAGCCCCAACTTGTGCCCTCACTCGGGCCACCCTTGTGACCCCCTGCTCGGAAACGTGCAGCCACCCGTGACTCCTGACCAGAGCGGTTTAATTCTGTGCTGACTGGGGGTGTGGATGCTCGGATGCCGTTTCTGTTGGCCGGTCGGTCTGTGCAGTGTGTCCGTCCAGTGGGTCTTTCTTGCCATCCCGCTGGGCTTGCCTGGCGCCGAGTTTCCCGGCTCGTCGCCCCTTGTGTGCCCCGCGGGGCTTTGCAGCACCGGGAGCTTCAGCAGGGGAGCTCACCTGCCCAACCTGGGGCGTCTGACCTTATGCTCAGCCCGGAACGCTCCTTTCCACCACCACTCACCAAGGCGACGCCCGACTTCCGAAGCCAGCTCAAATGCCGCCTCCTCTGGGAAGCCAGCAGGTGAGCTCCGGCTTCCAGGCGCCAGCACATCGCTGTTCCTTGCACACACAGCGCCGCCCGAGGGGGATCCTTGTAGTCCAGGTTAGGGGGGGATCTGGAAGCCTGGGGCCAGGCACGGGAGCCACAAATGGCAGCCACACGCGAAGTTTCAGATTTGCCAGCACCCACGTAGGAGCCCTGTTCCAGCAGCAGTAACCATCACGGAGACGATGAATTAATGAGGTATTTTCCGTTCTCTCACCTGCCCCAAGAGTACTCAGTACAGCTCACATCCCACCCGCAGTTTGGACTGGCGGTCGGTCCGCGGCTGCCTCCTGACACGGTTAAGAGCTTGCTGATTGAACGGTTGATGGATTTTGTCTCCTTTTACTCAAAACATTCACATGCTGTAAATTGTCATTCTGTGCCTGAAAATTTGTGCTCTGCCTCGTTATCTTGGGAATGTGCTGAGCTGCGTATTTCTGCGTTTTGCCTGTTTGCTTTGGGGACAGTCTGTTTGTTCTGGGAGGCCCCTGGCCCCACGAGCTGCCTCCTGTCCGTCCCCGCGGGGTGGGGGCCGTGGGACCAACAAGCAGGGACGGTGCCGGTGGGAGTCCTGGAGTGCACGTCGGAGACGGTGCCCGGCCTCTCCCGAGCTACTGCTCGGAGTCGGGGGCGGGGGGATGCGAGCGTGGGACGTGGACATCATCACAGGTGTTACCTAACGACAGAGGAGGGGTCCCGCCACCCCCAGCCTGGTGCACTTGGCTCGGCGGGAAGCGCATTCCTGTGTCCTTCACTGCTGTCTGCTGGGCACGCGTCCTCGAGCAGTTTCCTACCCACCTTGGCTTCTGTACGTGCGTACTACGGTGGGGCGAGAGTCTGAATAAACGTCTTTAAAAAACTCGAGCGAGACCGTCCCTCCCACGCGCATCTCCCCAGGAGACTTCTCTAACCGAAGTGCAGAGATGGCAGTGACCCTTCGTCGTGGCTGTTCCCAGCATGTGCTTGTTCGCGAGTGCTGGTAGGCGGCTGCCAGCGTTCAGCTCTGACTCTAGCCCTCCCAACCTACGGGTGGAGAAGGCCTCGCCCTCCCCCTGGAGAGCTGACTGCTGGCCCCTCCTGCCTCCCGGGGCTGGGTTTCGCCAGGAACGAAGCCAGCACGCGACACCCTGCACTCGGACTCGGGCGGTGGCTGTCCCATGCGGTCAGGGCCAGGGCAGCGGCGCTGTTTGCCCTCAGAGGCCACCAGAGGTGGTCACAGATGGCCCCTGTCTTGGGCTGCTTGCGGGGAGCAGGCGTGCGGGGCTGTGCTCGCGTCTTGAGCTCTTTATGGCAGGGTGGGAAACGGGTGGGTGGCCCAAGACGTGCCCTTAAGCCAGCCGGGGGCTCTTCCCTTGCTTAACCCCTAAAGCTTGAGGCCGGGTGCCTGGTCAGGGGCAGAGCCGGGCTTCGCTTGCGACCTTGTTCCCAGGGCGTTGGGAGGGGTGCTGCCTGGTCCCACCATCTGGCCCCCCGTCCCCCGCTGCTGCCCACCCCTGCGCCATGCCTCAGTCCCGTCTCTGCTGATTCGGGGGAGCCAAGGCGTATGGGGTACGCAGGCGTCTGCCTCTCCTGGGGGTCACAGCACTCCCGTGTCAGCGCCAGGCTCTCTGAGCCAGACTCCGAGAGGGACCGGGAAGGGGGGGCAGCCGGCCACTCCCGGTCCTCCGAGGCCTCTTGCAGATCACTGCACACATTTACTTCCGTTTTCAGGAGAACGAAAGCAGCGCTCTTGTTATCCAGGGGGATTTTTCTGGCTCTCCCTTTAAACCTGGGTTCTGTCTCCAGACACTGCACCCCGGGGAGGTCCCTCATCCACTCCTCCCGCCCAGGGATTTCGGGGCAGGTCCCCAAAAATACCTGTCCCCGTGCAGTGTGCTAACAAGTGGGAAAATTGCCAGACAGCTGACAGGTGCTGCAGGGGTGGTGGTCAGGGCCTGGGTAACAACCGTCCTATCAGCCCCGTGGGGTCACGGGGCAGGTTTTCTTTGACTAATAAGCTCTACGTGATGCGTCCTGAGCATGAGGTGGGAAGGGTGGGAGGGCAGAGAAACCCGTTGGGCACCAGGCTCGCCCTTACCTTGGTGTTGGCCTCGAGGTAGTTGTACAGCACGTTGATGGAGATGGTGAGGTCCCCATTGTTGAAGGGGTACGGCCTGTTCCAGCCCTGGGCCCCGAACTTGCGCCTCTCGGCCACCACGGCGTGGAAATAGCACAGGGCGAATAGGATGCACTTGAACTCGATCTCCTTGGTGCACATCTCCAGGGTGTCCTGCGGGGGTGGGGGGGCACAGGTGCCCCGGCTGGGACCCGAGTCCTGCCTCTGCCAGCAGCTTGCTGGGGGCGGGAGGGGCAGGGTGGGCGGGGACTGGCCACCTGAGGCCCCGGTCCACGAGGGCTGGAGGGGAGCATGATTTCTTCTGCTTCTGTCGTTCAGAAATGCTGTTCTATCACCTAAGTATTGATTTTAAGTCGGATTAAACTGCTTCCTAAATAAAACATTCCCAAACTCAGGACATTTCTGGATTCCTTTAATGAGAGGGACCGTCCTCGGCGGTGGCCAGCGCTCCCCCTCATGTGCATGTGAACACTAGCCTAGACTCTCCAGGAACAGGGGCTCGCTGTGCGTTCTCGGCACAATGTGCTCCACAACGAGATCTCTGTAGGTGTTACCAGACGGTACGGGGTGT